GACACCTCAAGCCACAGCAGGACTAAATGCATCCTCTCCCACTGAGGTCAAACAAGGCAGTCCATCTGTGGGAAAGTGACCCAGTGACAGGCAACAGAGCTCAGAGACATTTCCTACTTCCATTCCTACGGGATCCACATGATGACCAAGCTACATATCTGTTTCATATGTGTGGGGGTTCTAGCTCCAGCCCTTGAATGCTTGCTGGTTGGTAGTTCAGTCTCTGTGAGGACTTATGAGCCCAGACTAGTTTACATTTTAGCCTTCTTGTGGTGTCTTTGAGCCCCTTGACTCCCTCTATGCTTCTTCCCACTCTTCCACAGAACTCCCAGAGCTCAGACTATTGTGTGGCTGTATGTCTCTGCATGTGTTTTCATCAGCTGCTGAATGAAGCCTCACAGAAAACAATAATGCTAGGCTGCTATTTCCTAAATCTCTGCTCCATCTTTACCACTAAACTTGCAGACAAGACAAATTTTGGGTCTAAGGTTTTACGGCTTGTTTGATATTGCCCTCCCTCCAATGGAAGACTCACCTGGCTATGAGAGGTGCCAACTTCAGGATCCTTAAGCCCTGCTAGAATTCTTAGCTATGGTACCCCTTGTAGACTCCCAGGAGCCTCCCCTGTCCCAGAGATTCACTGCCACCGACTTCCGTTTTCTCTCTAGGTACTCGCCAAAACTCCATCCCCTATCCTCCTCACACTTGATCCCTACCTTTGTTACTCTCTCCACCCCCTCTCCCACTCAGTTCCATACCACCATCTACTTCGGAGGTTTATTATAATTCCTGTTTTGGGGAAGATTAAGAGGCATCTTCTCTTGTATGCTCCTTGGCTTCTTTCTGTTTGTGGATTGTAGCATGGTTGTCCTATCCTTTATGGCTAACTCTACACTCATTAATGAGTACATACCATGCATGTCTTCTTGAGTCTGGATTACCTCACTCATGACGATCTGTCTATTTCAATCCATTTGCCTGCAAATTTTATGATGTCTTTGTTTTTAGTAGCTGAATAGTGTTCAATTTTGTAATGTATCACATTTTCTGTATACATTCTTTGTATGAGGATCATGTAGATTGTTTACAGTTTCTATGAATTAAACTACTATGAATTAAGCTGATATGAACATAGTTGATTAAGTGTCCTTGTAGTATTTGAGCAACTTTTAGGTATATACAAACAGTGTTATGCCTGGGTCTTGATGTGGAGGTATTCCAATTTTTTAGGGAAACATCAAGATAATTTCCACAGTCGTTGTACAAGTATGAACTTCCACCTGCAAAGGAGTGTACCCCTTTCTCCATATCCTCTCCAGCATGTGTTGTCACTTGAGTTTTTGATCTTAGTCATCCTGATAGATGTAAGATGGAATCTCAGAGTTGTTTTAATTTGCATTTCCCTGATGACTAAGGATGATGAACATTTCTTTAGGTGCTTCTCAGCCATTAGAGTTTCCTCTCTTGAGAATTCTCTGTTTTGCTCTTTAACTCAATTTTAAGTTGGGTTATGTTATACAAATGAAATTAATATGAATTCCATCCACCATATTGAGTTTATTGTGTTCTTTGAGTATTTGATTCTTTCAGCAATAGTTTTACTGTAAAATTCTGAAGGTAAACACAGAATGATGACAATGGCACATGATGTTTGGAAGTCTAGGGTACCTTAATAGTACCTTAATAATACCAACAAGTCCCAAAGAAGTAATCCATTCAAGATACCTGACTTTTTGCCAGCCTCTGGTATCTAGTGGGGACATTGTTACCCTGCTATAGAGTTTCATTTTTCAATTTTACTTTGTGTGTGTGTGTGTACTTATGTTTAGAAAGAAAGTCATAGGTTTCTATATGAATAATTCTAAAGAGCAATAGTGTTGTTAATACACACCCAAACTCCCTCCTCTACTCTGACTTCCCTTTCATATCTCAATTTAACACATCCTTTTTCATTACTCTGTTTTAATCCTAATGCTAGCATTATCTATCTTTCCTCCTTGACTAGTTAGTAATTTACTGTCCTCTCTGTGTATTCCAAATAAAGCCCAAAGATCAGAAAATCCAAAGCTAAAATAATTTGGTGAGAGAAAATGTGATGTTTTTTTGTTTTGCAAAACATTGAAAAAAATAAAACTGATGCAATAGGAGGGTAACCAGGCACTTTTTAAACATTCTACAATAAGCATCTTATGTTACTATCATAAAATAGTTTTAATTGCGATATTTTTTTCTTTTACAAAAATGGAAGCTAAGGTAACTTGACTTCAAGGCAAAACTAGGAAAGAGAGAATACCCTAAAAGTCAAATATTTGCTATCCCTTTAGACTGCATTTCTGGGAATTTGAGGAATCATATTTTCAGATATTTGACATGATCTCATAACTTTCTGTAAGCCCAAGTTAAATTAAAAGCAGATGATTTAAATTATGAAAATTAAATAGTGGAGTAGATTGTAAGATTATGGGAAATGCCAAAAGAGTTTGTGTAAATACACTGTACTGAAGTGATGCCTTACTATGGGATGGATCAGTGAGAAATAAATACAAGAATCCTAATGGATTATGTAGTTTCCCATTTATTTTTGCCTGTGAGTAAATTCATTGTAATTAAGGAAATTTTTATAAAAATTAACATAATATAAAATACAAGAAACTGAAAAATATTTTTATTTTATTTTACTTTTTAAATATTAGTTACAGTTTATTAACTTGTATCCCAGCCTCAGCCCCTTCCAAATTTCCTCCCAACCCCAACTCCCCTCCTTCATCTTCTCCCTGTCCCTTTCAAAGTCCACTGATAGGGGAGGTCCTCCTCCCTCCCATCTGACCCTAGTTTATCAGGTCTCATCAGGACTGGCTGCAATGTCCACCTCTGTGGCCTAGCAAGGCTGCTCCTACCTTGGGTGAGGGGGTGGAGGTCAAAGAGCCAGCCATTGAGTTCATGTCCTAAACAGTCCCTGTTCCCCTTACTAGGTTACCTACTTGGATACTGAGCTACCATGGGCTATACCCAAGCAGGGGTTCTAGGTTAGATCCATACATGGTCCTTGGTTGGAGAAACAGTCTCAGAAAAGAACCTTGTCCCCAGATATATTAGGTTCTTGTGGAGCTCCTGTCCTCTCCAGGTCTTACTAACTTCCCCTTCTTTCATATGATTCCCTGCACTCTGCAAAAGTTTGCTTGTGAGTCTCAGCATCTGCTTTGATACACTGTCAGGTACTCTTTGAAAGACACTCTGTGGTAGACTCCTGTCCTGTTACTTGTTTTCTCCTACTTTCAATGTCAATCCCCTTTGTCTTTCTAAGTGAGGATTGATCATCCAACACTGGTCCTCCTTCTTCTTTATCTTCTTTGGGTGTACAGATTTTAGTATGTTTATCCGATCTTATAGGTGTAGTACCCACTTAGAAGTGAGTATATGCCATGTGTCTTTCTGCTCCTGGGATATCTCACTCAGGATGATGTTTTCTGGATCCCACCATTTGCCTGAAAAATTCATGATTTCTTTGTTTTTAATTGCTGAGTAGTATTCCATTGTGTAAAAGTACCACAATTTCTGTATCCATTCCTCCTTTGATGGATATCGGGGTTGTTTCCATGCTCTGGCTATTACAAATAAGGCTGCTACAACATGCTTGAGCAAATGTCCTTGTTTTGTACTTGAGCCATTTTTGGATATATGTCAAGGAGTGGTATAGCTGGATCTTGAGGAAGCACTATTCCTAAATGTCTAGAAGGCAGCAAAGTGATTTCTAGAGTGGTTGTAAAAGTTTGCATTCCCACCAGCAATGGAGGAGGGTTCCCAATTCTCCACAACCTCTCCAGCATGCATTGTCACTTGAGTTTTTGATCTTAGCCATTCTGATGGGTGTAAGGTGAAATCTCAGGCTCGTTTTGATTTGCATCTCTCTGATAGTTAAGGATGTTGAGCATCTCTTTAAATGTTTCTCTGCCATTCTACATTGTTCTACAGAGAATTCTCTGTTTAGCTCTGTACCCCATTTTTTAATTGGATTGCTTGAATTATTGCCTTTTAACTTGTTTATTTCTTTATATATTCTGGATATCAGCCCTCTGTCAGAATAGGAGTGGTGAAGATCTTTTCCCAATCTGTAGACTGTCGTTTTGTTCTGAGGACAGTGTTCTTTGCTTACAGTAGCTTTTCAGTTCCATGAGGTCCCATTTATTGATTGTTGTTCTTAGAGCCTGTGCTGATGCTGCTCTGTTCAGGAAGTTGTCTCCTTTGCCAAAGATTTCTAGGCTCTTCCCCACTTTTCTCCTAAGGGATTTAGTATGTCTGGTTTTAAATTGAGGCTTTGATCCACTTGGACTTTAGTTTTGTGCAGGGTGATAAATATTTATCTATTTTTCTTTTTCTGCATGAAGACATCCAGTTAGACCAGCACCATTTGTTGCAGATACTGTCTTTTTTCCATTGAATGATTTTGGCTTCTTTATCAAAAATCAAGTATTCCTAGGTTTGTGGGTTTATTTCTGGGTCTTCTATTTAGTTCCATTGATCCACCTTTCTGTTCCTATGCCAATACTATGCAGTTTTCATTACTATTGCTCTGTATTACAGCTTGAGATCAGGGATGGAGATACCTCCAGATGATCTGTTGTTGTACAGAATCGTTTTGGAAATTCTGAGATTTTTGTTTTTTCTATATGAAGTTGATAATTTTTCTTTCAAGGTCTGTAAGGAATTGTGTTTTAATTTGATGGGAATTGCATTGAATCTGTAGATTGCTTTTGGCAGGATGGCCATTTTCACTATGTTACTCCTACCAATCCATGACCACGGGAGATCTTTCCATCTTCTGAGATCTTCTTCAATTTCTTTCTTCAGAGACTTGAAGTTTTTTTCAAACAGATCTTTCACCTGCTTGGTTAGAGTCACCCCAAGGTACTTTATGTTATTAGTGGCTATTGTGAAGGGCACTGTTTTCCTGATTTCTTTCTAGGCCTTTTTGTCTTGGCTACACAGGAGGGCTTCTGATTCAAAAACTGTGGTTAGATGCCACACAAGTAGGTGGCAATGCCTTAACCTTATGTGTGTTGTTAGGCCCAAAGGCCTCTTTCATCCTTGTAGGGGAATGTTATCCTTCTCTGCTTTCATATTACACTCTAATATTTCTATATCTACTAATTATCTAGTTTCAGGCACACTTATTCAAACCCAATGAGCAAAACTAATTTTAATTTCCAGAGGGGGAAAAAAAAACAAACCTGTCATACTGAAAATTGTTCTATATTATTCAATATATTTTAACTATGGTTAGGCATTAAAGATTAACTTCTAAAATGAATTGCTATTATAAAAAGGAAGTGTCATTTTGACATAAATCTTGAAAGTAAATTGAAAATTGTCATTTTCAATCCATCTTTTTATTATAGAATTTAAATATTTCTCCCTTTTACTATTTTTTGTTTTAATTAAATATTTTTAATGAAAATTTTTAAACTTTTATTTTTTAAAATAATTACAGGTTATTCACTTTGTATCCCAGCTCTAGCCCCCTCCCTCATGCCCTCCCAATCTCACCCTCCCTCATCTACTCCCATGCCCCTCTTCAAGTCCACTGAGAGGGGAGGTCCTCCTCCCCTTCCATCTGAACCTAGCCTAACAGGTCTCACCAGGAAAGGCTGCATTGTCCTCCTCTGTGGCCTGACAAGGCTGTTCCCCACTTGGAGGTGTGTGTTCAAAGGACCAGCCATTTTCCTCATACTAGGACATCCACTTGGAGACTGTGCTATCATGGGCTACATCTGAGCAGGGTTTTAGGTTATATCCATGAATGGTCCTCAGTTGTAGTATGAGTCTCAGAAAAGACCCATCGGCCCCAATTTTTTGTTTCTGTTGCTCTCCTTGTGGAACTCCTGTCCCATCCTTGTCCTACTATCTCCCTCTTCTTTAATAAGTTTCTCTGCACTCTGCCCAAAGTTTGATTATGAGTCTCAGAATCTGCTTTGATACCCTACTGGGTATAGTCTGTCAGAAGCCCTCTGTGGTGGCTACTGTACTGTTTTCTGTTTTCTCCTTCTTCCAATGTCCATCCCATTTTGTCTTTCTGAATGAGGACTGATCATCTTACCCAGGGTCTTCCTTCTTGATTAGCTTCAGATTATATACCATGTGTGTCTTTCTCCTTCTGAAATACATCACTCATGATGATCTAGTGCCCATCATTTGCCTTCAAATATCATGATTTCCTTTTTTTTTTCTTAATTGTTGAGTGGTATTCCATTGTGTAAATGTACCACAATTTCTGTGTTCATTCCTCAGTTGAGGAATATTTGGGTTGTTTCCAGGTTCTGGCTATTATGAATAAGCTGCAATGAACATGGCTGACCAAATGTCCTTGTTGTAAACTAGAGCATGTTTTGGATATATGCCTAGGAGTGGTATAGCTGGATCTTGGGGAAGCACTATTATTAATTAATCTGAGAAAGCACCAGATTGATATCCAAAGTGGTTATACATAGTTACATTTGCACCAGCAATGGAGGAGGTTCCCCTTTCTCCACATCCTTTCCAGTATGTATTGTCACTTGAGTTTTTGCTATTAAAAAATGTCTTAACAATTTTGTATAATTATATAGCTAATTTTTGTTATTTTTACACCCCCACATTCCGTTCCCTCATTCCTTCTCCCACTTAAACACTTATTTCCAACAGCCTGCTCTTCTTTGACATTTTCATGTCTTCTCATTAGATGATGCATTTAGTGTAACTGAGCTGGGAAGGAAATAGGTGGTCAGATGACTGAATGAGCTAAGGTGTGGGGAACAAGCCAAGCATCCAGAACCCATGTAAGAAAGAGAGAAAAAAATTTACCACACTGATTTTCTCTGACCTCAGATGTGTGTCATAGCACATTCCACCACAAACACATCATGTACCCTCATGTAGCTACATAGAATAATCACAAATACAACAAAAATACAAATATTCTAAATAGAGGTACTTGCTCTTCTTGATGCAGTTTGTGATCAGTAGAGGCTAGTATCTTAATCATACCATTATTATTGGATTACCCAATACATTTTTGCACTTTTTTACTTTAAATTAATTAGAAGTAATTTTAGAACACTAGAGAGATAGCTCAGCAATAAAGAACATTCTGTTCTTTCAGAGGGCACAGGTTCAATTCCAAGCATTTACATGATGGGTCACAAATGACTCTAACTCCAGTTCTATGGGAAAATGTACTTTATGAATTTCAGAGAGTATTTTATTGTTTTCTTGTATTGTTAAAATAACTTTAGAGTTGTTTACAAGAAATATAAAATGAAAACAATTAAGAGATTCATATAAGTAATAAAGAAGTAACTATGGTTTAACTTGGTTTATAATTTTGAATTTTTTCACTAGTCATAAATATTGTACTTATGTAACATCACTTCTTTAATTATTTCAGCATGTTATTATTCATTCAACTTTCATGATAGTCAAATCAACATAAGTTAGTTGGTCTACCCACTAAGCCACTCAAGCCATCCCTACGTCTACCTACAGAGGAGTGACTCAGTCACTTCATTTTCCTAGGTAATTTTTGCTAAACCAAGCAATGTATGTAGTAATAGCTTCTTAACCATTTGGAAGTATTTTATGCATCTGCTTATAAATAATATATACAGTTCTTGAAATTCAGCACTTACACTCTAATTTAATTAGTTCCCAAAGCTAAATTGAGAAGAAGCAGGTTATAAAAGAGGGATCAGCAGATTTTTGGCAAGTATTTTCCAGAGTTAGTTGAAATTTTGCTACAGAATAGCAAATCCTTCTAGAAATCTATATTTTGTTAACAACTGAAGAAATAATTTTCTGTACAAATACACATAAGCACACCCACGGAGGCAAAAATAGACACAGCAAACGTTTACACTCATACAATCCGTATTACTACAGTTTAAGAATGTTGTTGATTATTAATAATCATCTGTGGATAATGAGTTAGTTTTCTTTTCATAAAAATCATTTAGATAATAAATTACTCTATATAATAACATGTCTAACACATCAAATATAGTAAAAAGTTAAAAATGCACAAAAATTGTATCTAAATCTTTTACTAACATCCATTTTGTTTAAAGTTACACTTAGATCAACTATGAAATTATCACAGCTACTTATGATGTTGTGATAGTAGACAAATATAATTATCACCTTCAGTTATTTCTGTGTCAAAGATCAATATGATGCAGATAGCTATGCTTACTGTATGGAAAATAATAGAGATTGCTTTTCACTTTTATTTTTTATATTTTGTCCTAGGTTTAATTTACAATTGTATGATTATAAAATCTTATTAAGTCTATTATTTAAAGTTTAAGAGGACCATTATTTTTATTTTGATGGTATATTTTAACATAGAGTAAAACTGTGGGGGATCAGCTCCAGCTTCAAGAATTCAGGTCCAGAGATGGGGAAGGGTTGTTGGCACTAAGGGAAGACACTGACCACCCATTGACTTTCAAGCAAGTAGCCCCAAGTAGATGAAGCCATCTTTATTTATGAAATCACAATCCTGGTCACCTGAGAAGTGTCATCAGTGGTTATTTTATTTAAAGAAATCGTAACATCAATGCTGCATAAATTCCCGTATTACAAAAAGCCAAAAATAAATGTCTATCCAAGCATGTACTGTGGACATGAGAACACACCAAAATGGCAACAAATATGGTTCCATAGTTATGCAAGGTGAGAAATTAACCCTTTGTAGATATAAGTCCATTCATTAAATAGCACCCTTCTGTCACAGTATTTTCAAAACTGTAAAAAAGGGGTGTGCCCATTTTACCAAGAAATCTTCCTTGATATGCACCTATCGATTTCAGATAATATCTTTCTAAGAGCATTTTTTTAAATCTCTACCAATCAGGCACAGCTTCTGCATTTTTAAGTCTTTGCTGAAGACACAGCTTGACTACTTTTTACATATCTATTGACCAGAAGCATCTTTCCCACTTTTCAGTCTCTTAATAAGAAACAGCTTTCTCAGACCAGTTATGCAAGCAGGACCCATTGTTCTCTTCAACTGCCACAGGCTTAGTCAGTGTGACTGCAGTTATTTCTCTAGGGATGTGATTACATGTCCCAACACACTCAGGATCTTTGGTCATATATGGAGGATTGACAGAGGCAGAGAGAGGAGAGGAGAGGAGGGTTTTACCCCTTGAAAGAGTATTGAGAAAATCAGACTCATACAGAGGACTTTCAGTATGTGTGGTCCTAGTCATGCCTCTGACCAACAAAGTGAAACCACATTGCTATGAGTATAAGCTTCATAACCAAAGCAAGGAAAGCTTGTAGCACATATGATCCAGGTAGTAAGGACAGAGGCCACCAAATTCACCACAGGTCCTTGCCCAGTGAAAAACAGTTTCCAAGGGCCTTGCCACAGTAGAGTTGGATCAGCAAAGCACTCACATGCCATTCTTTGCAGATGCTGCATGGCCACTGCCATGTAATGATGTAAATTTCTAAATTTTCTAAGCCCAAGTTGTACAGGTGGCATGATAGGAAATCTTGAGGTCATCCTCTATATGATTAACTTTAAGATTTTCATATTACCTAGGAGTGGTATAGCTGGGTCTTGAGGTAGCACTACTCCTAGTTGTCTGAGAAAGCGCCAGATTGACTTCCAGAGTGGTTGAACCAGTTTACATTCCCACCAGCAATGGAGGAGGGTTCCCTTTTCTCCACAACCTCTCCAGCATGTGCTATCACTTGAGTTTTTCATCTTGGCCATTCTGATGGGTGTAAGGTGAAATCTCAGGGTCGTTTTGATTTGCATTTCCCTAATGGCTAATGAGGTTGAGCATTTCTTTAAGTGTTTCTCTGCCATTCGATGTTCCTCTTTCGAGAATTCTCTGTTTAGCTCTGTTCCCCATTTTTTAAGTGGATTACTTGGTTTGTTGCTTTTCTGCTTCTTTAGTTCTTTATATATACTTGATATTAGCCCTCTGTCAGATAAAGGGTTGGTGAAGATTCTTTCCCAATCTGTAGGCTGTCTATTTGTTTTGATGACAGTGTCTTTTGCTTTACAGAAGCTTTTCAGTTTCATGAGGTCCCATTTATTGATTGTTGCTCTTAGAGCCTGTGCTGTTGGTGTTCTGTTCA